CAGCAGCAGGCATCAGGGTTGGGATCGAACCCACGACCTCCTGCATACCAGGCGAGGTAGTCAACATATCCTAATCACCGTTATGATGATGATGAGACACGCAAACTCCAAATATACAGCAGCAGCAGCAGGCATGGTAAGGGTCAGGATCGAACCCACAACCTCCTGCACACCAGGCGAGGTAGTCAACATCTCCTAGCCACCGTGATGATGATGAGAGAGACACGCAAACTCCAAATATACAGCAGCAGGCATCAGGGTTGGGATCGAACCCACGACCTCCTGCACACCAGGCGAGGTAGTCAACATCTCCTAGTCACCGTGATGATGATGATGAGATTCCTCGGCACCGCTCATCGGGAATTCTTCACCACCGCTCACCGCAGCGAGTCTCGCATAAGGAACGGGTGACGTCACTCACTCGCAGCCCCACCGCGCGCGTGACGTCATCGCGCTGGAAGATGGCTGGATGACGTCACGCTCGGGATGAATGGGGGCGGGCGGAGGTTTCAGCTGGAGACGGTAATATGACGTCATCTATCGGGCTCGAAGTGCACCTGGCCTGGCACGGGCGCCGCGGTGACGTCACCGTCGCTCAGGGTACGGGTAGGGGGATCTTTGTCTTTGTAGCTGTGACGTCACTCGCATCCAGCCCCTTGGTGACGTCACCCTACACCCCCCCCCCACCCTGGCAGGCGTGCGCCGGTCTGACGTCGTGTCGTCAATCTCGCCGCGAGCGTGACGTCACGCCACTATTGGCGGGCCGCTTGGAGACGCGAGTGACGCCACCCCCCCTACCGGGCACGTGACGTCGTCGCTCCTGTGCGGCGGGGGGGTGTGTCCTTAATACGATGGGGATGACGTCATTTGCTCGCGACTGCGGGTTACGTGACGTCATGTCACCAATGCCCGGGGGGGGGGGCTGTGGACACCGTGAATTGACGTCACACACAGAGACAGAGAGTCGAGGCCTCCGTGTAGCGTTGTGAAGTTCAATATCGCCACTGGGGGAGAGACAAAGGCGGCCGGGCGTGGTGTTGGATACCGACCCCCTTCATAGGTACTGCTACTCGCTACTAACAGAAGCACTTGCAACTGTAGCCTGTGTGAGGCTACCTGGGGCATCTTTATATTGGTAAGAACAAAGTGGACCAGCCGACAATCTATATATATAAAATCGCAAATCTGTCTGTCTGTCTGTGTGTCTGTGTGTGTGTCTGTTTGTCTGTGTGTCGCCGGACCATACGCAGTTTCATTGGACGAAATGTGAGGGATTTGCGAGACACGATTGGTCCGGCGGTTGCCCCTGGCAACGGGTAGCGATGCATTCGCTGCGGGGTGGACGCCATTTTTAATTCCCGTTAAAAATATGCGCACGCATTAACACGCGACTCTGACGTAAATTCATCAAAGTTTCACATCCTCTTCACTCCCCCCCCACCACAATGTGTGCAATTACTATTATAGGGTCGGAAGATTATAAAATAGCGATTAGACAGTATTATTGTAGCGCGGGGGGGGGGGGGGGAAACGGCACCCGTACCCAGCCTCAGCCGGGTGGGCAATTTAGGCGAGGCCGGAAGCTCTGCACGGTACTAGGCCTCGACACCCACCACGCGACTCTGAGGTAAATTCATCAAAGTTTCACGTCCTCTTCACTCCCCCCCCCCCCACGCCAATGTGTGCAATTACTATTATAGGGTCGGTAGATAATAAAATTATAGCGATTAGACAATATTATTGTAGCGCGGGGGGGGGAGGGGGGGAACGGCACCCGTACCCAGCCTCAGCCGGGTGGGCAATTTAGGCGAGGCCGGAGGCTCTACACGGTACTAGGCCTCGACACCCCACCACACTATAGGCCGTACATATTACTGCACAGCGGCCGAGATCGTGGCTGGGGGGGCAGGGGTAGCAGCCCATCTGTGTATATATGTAAGGTTATTAAGAAATATATTTTTCACCCAGGCAACGCCGGGTACTTATGCTAGTAGATTATATCGTCCGTCCGTTTTTCCGTCCGTCTGTGTAGCAACATCGCCCCCTATTGCAAACACTTGGCATGACCCTACAAAAACCTTTAGACTCAGTGACGATTTCCTGGCTAAACAAGTGTAACATTCCCTTATAATTCCCTCAGATAGCTTTTAATTAAAACGTTTAAATTAATGAGGCTTTCCTGCCTAAACAAGTGCAACATTCCCTTATAATTCCCTGAGATAGCTTTTAATTAAAACTTGTAAGTTAAAATTTAACTCACAGCAGCCTAAAGCCTACAGCTAGGCCTAAAGCCTAGAACTAGGCCTCAAACTCTCCCTTCGTATAGTTCCCCCGCGTGTGTGAAAGGGAGTTAATGTTTAGCAATGTTACATTCCCGGATGTTTTTTTAATAGAAACATTTACATTTAAAGCTTTTACATTAAAAACAACTCCCTACCCCCCCCCCCCCCCTCGTCGGTGGCTCTCCAGCCTAGATCCAGGCCTGGGAATCTCTCCCCCGCTAGGGGTGTATTGGGCGGGGCTACAGCTGCAGGGGGCGGGGATGGGCGGGGCAACGGCGGCAGGGGGCGTGAGCACGAGGTGGAGGGTGGAGGGCGGGGCTACGCGGGGTTGGGGCGGGGTTACGGCGGTAAGGGATGGGGCAACGAGCTGGGGGCGGGGACACGGAGATGGGGCGGGGCCACGGGTGGCCAGGGCGGGGTTACGCGGGTGGAGGGCGGGGCCACGGGGCATCCACTTATTGGCGGCCATTTTTTGCCATTTCATTTTATTATAGCCATTCAATTGTTCGTTCCTACCAGCCCACCCCGCAGGGTCCTGTTACTGATGACATATTCGATCAGAAAAATGTAAAAAAGATTTTAAAATATTATTTGTGAAATTTTATGTTTCAGCTTGGCTCTAATTGTCCACGGTAAACTGACGTTGCCTGTTAAATCACCACGGCCCCTTACGTTACGGCAAACTTCGGGGCCACTTCATGGAGTCGTGGAGTTCTTTCATTACGAGTACGGTACATTTCATTAAAGCGTGTTTTTAAAAAAGTTTTTTTTAATATCACTTATTTTTTTCTTTCGGTGCCTGGACAGCAAAAACCTTCCCCCACCCCCCACCGCTAAAGCCGCACACAGAGAGCCTGCCCAGAGCCCCGCCCAGTTGCGCTCCACCTCTGTAGCTCGCGGGATTCCTGCTGCACGGCATAGCCACGTCATTACTCGCTGTGACGTTGCTGCTACTGCCGCCATGGAAGACTAGTCTCCGTCGCCATCTTGTTTCTGTCTCTATCTTGTCTCCGTCGTCTTTATCTCGCCTTTGTCTTATCTCCGTCTTCTTCTCCGCCATTATCTTCGTCTTGTCTCCGTCTCGATATCCATCTTGTCTCGTCTGTGTTGTGTAGTGTAGTGCCTCAATAGAGCTCAATGTGTAGTGTATAGTGTAGTGTCTAGTAGTGTATAGTGTAGTGTAGTGCCTCAATAGTCATAGAGCTCAATGTGTTCGCTTACCGACCATTCCCCTGTTAACGATGGGCTGTTGTAGGTACAGTAAATATTCATTAATGCATTAACCACGTTTCTTTTAACGTTATGTGTTCATACTATTGGTAGTATGAGAATAGGTTTTCCCCTTTTTTCTGGCAACAAAACAGCTGTGTTAAGATGTTAAAACGCCAAACTGAAACCTTTTACAAGGCATCATGTCTGCATTAACCACAATACTCGTGGTCAGTATGCAAAGATAGACGAAAACTGATGCCAGATTTGGAATCAGCACCCCAAAATTACCTTAAATCCGTTGGAATTCCTTATGCCAGAAAAAGTGTGTTGACCAGTGTTATCAAAGTACGGTTTTTGTTTGCATTCTGACCACAAGTATTGTGGTCAATGCAGACATGATTTTTTGTAGAAGGTTTCAGTTTGGTGTTTTAACATCTTAACACAGCTGTTTTGTTGCCAGAAAAAGAGGAAAACCTACTCTCATATTTTGATACTGGTGTAGTGACATAAGAAGGGAGGGGCTGCTGGGGGCTCTGGGACCCAGGGAGGGCCAGGCGCTTAAGCCTCTTGGCGCCAGGCGTGGGTTCCCAGGCGGGTCAGACACTTAAGCCTCTTGGCATCAGGCGTTGGGTTCCCAGGCGCTTAATTCCCTTGGCGCCGCCAAAGGGGGGGGCTGTGTGTGCTCTGTGGGATATCTGGGGGCGCACACGGCCCCACCCCTCGTTGGGGACTGGGCATAAAAGGGGAGCTCCCTGGACGATCAGGGCCAGTCGTAGCTCAAGACCCAAGACCCAAGACCAGCCATCGGAGGACCCTGGGACGCTGTGAGAGCCAGTGGTGGGACTCTGGAACTCCCGACTCTACGACCTTGTGAGGGCGGGTTCCAGAGCGTAGCCAGAGTAGAGTATCTAGGTTGTGTACCTAGGCTGTGAACCTAGGCTGTAACAGAGTATCAGGACTGTTGGAGAGTTGGAGAGTTGGAGTGTTGGACTGTTGGAGTGCTGTTGAATCGTAATAAAGAAGTTACCTCTACAAGTGTCTCCGGAACCCGTTACACTGGCAAAGGAGGTCCCCATGATTTTGGTAGTATCTTTACGTATTAATATCCACCGTTCAAATATTGCATAAGTACGTTTTTTGGGATGAAAAAGGGTTAACTTTAGGTCCTGTCGTAACGGATTAAGATTCTGACGTGCATTTCCTATAGTTGCTTAACGGCCAAATCACTTAACAGTCTTAATAAATATTTACTGTACCTACAACAAAAATCTTACCTTGTGCTCAGAGAGATTTCTCCTGTATTGGTCCAATTTTGTTTCAGAAATGCATTCAATTTTTTGTAACTTACATTTCGTTGAAATGAAGTTGTTAAGTAAACTACCCCCTGTGATTAAAACTAAAACTATACCCTAAAATCAAAACGGGGCCACCCCTCTTAAAAACACCCTCCCCCCCTCCCCGATATCTTAGTTTAAAAAAAAAGACAGACAAATGTTCCGGTAATAAGAATTATTTTAGTATATGTGGTGTTTAGAGATCGAGAGGTCAAGAGAGAGAAAATTGAATGCGTTTTTGTCACCAGGGGTGGCTGGGCAGTCCCATGTGGAAATGTTTGCATCGGCCGCGGAGGCCAAATTCTTTTTAAATAAACTTCCGCGCTACACATCGCACCTCCAATTAGCACGGTTGGCTACGTATGGTGCGAAAGAAGTTGAACATACGATAAAAATACAAAGATCCCCCGTATAGCCCGTAACAGACTGTTTGGACAAGTGCCATTAGGCAGCACCTATGAAGGCCAGCAACCACGCCCGGCCGCCTTTGTCTCCCCAGCGACAATGATTACACATCGCACCAGGTACTCATTTCATGCCGTGTCGACCTAGGGGAGGCTCAGATAATCGTCCCCGGTGTTGGCCGTGAGCGGGAATCGAACTCGGGTCGCCGGGTTCTTAGCGCAGCGTAGTGCTAACCGCTGCACCACCGCTCCCCATACACACACGGACACGCACACTCACATTCCTGGTGCTTCTGCACAGATCGAAATGGGTCTGTCCTCTGCTCCACGTGATCCACCCTCCACCCTCTTGTCTCGACCCCATTCTTTAGCGATACTTCCACGCCAACGGCGTTCCATGGCTGTCCGGCGTCTTCCTCCCATCTCCACGTCGTTCGCATCGACCTCGACATCGCTTCTCAAACGAGGGCCTCATCCTTCCAGTTCCCGTTTCGCGACCGACAAGGAGACCGAGCGATCTTGAGCTCCGAGTTCTAACTAGACCCCTTCCCCTCAGCCGAGTCTCAACTGGGGATTTCCTCCGGTTCCTGCTTCACACTCAACAGGAAGACGGAGGAGTCCTGAGCTCCGCGTTCCAACTTTACCCGCTGCTCCGTCTCGCTCCCTTGGCAATCCTCGTGCTCCCGCTTCACGATCGGCAGGGAGGGGAGGCGGCACGGAACAACCTCGCCAGCGGGCTCCACCTTCACCCCCGGCCACGCCTCGAAGCCTCCGACGTCCCCTTCCCGTTCCTCCTTCACTTTCGCCGAGGACACGTCTCCGCCTCCGCCTCCGCTCTCCGCCTTCATTACCCGCGGGCGCGTCCCGACAAAGCCGGCGGGCTTTTCCCGGCGTTCTTCTTCCAACGCGGCGGGCGCGGGAGGAGGAGGGCTCGCCGCCGCCTCTCCGGGGAAAGTCGCGCGCTCACCCCCAGAGTCAGGTGGTTCCGGTAGGGCGGCCGTCGCGACCTTGCGCGCGATGCACTCGCGACGCTTCCGCCTCGTCACGCACCCTCCGTCCGCCGCGTCCGCGCTTCCGGCGCCGGGGGAGCCGCCCGACGGCGTCAACGCCTCGGCGCCCTCGCCGCAGGCGCTCTCTCCCGTGTGGACCCTCTTGTGGACGACGAGCGTGTGGGAGCGAGCGAACGTCTTCGCGCACACCGTGCACCTGTACGGCCTCTCTCCTGTGTGGATCCTGCTGTGCGTGGAGAGGGTCCCCGCATACGCGAACGCCTTCGCGCACACCGTGCACCTGTAGGGTCTCTTGCCCATGTGGGTCCTCCTGTGCACGCTCAGGGCCCCCGAGTAGGCGAATGCCTTTCCGCATGTGGTGCACACGTAGGGCTTCTCACCCGTGTGGATCCTGTTGTGGATGATGAGCGTCCCCGAGTGCGCAAACCGTTTTCCGCATGTGGCGCACCCATAGGGCTTCTCGCCCGTGTGGATCCTGTTGTGGATGACGAGCGTCCCCGAGAGAGCGAACCGTTTTCCGCACGTGGCACACCCATAGGGCTTCTCGCCCGTGTGGATCCTCTGGTGGTTGCAGAGCTGCACCTCGCGCATGAACTCCATCCCGCAGACGGTGCAGTGGTAGGGCTTGCCGCCGGCGTGCGTCTTTTGGTGCTCGTGAAGATCCTCCGAGTGGTTGAACGCCAGTTCGCAATCGGTGCACTTGTAGGGCTTCTCCTCGGCGTGCGCCGCTTGGTGCTCGCGGAAGACCTTGACGTCGATGAACACCTTGCCGCACTTGGCGCACTTGTGAAACTCGCGCGCGTCGTGTGTCGCCTGGTGGCCGATGAAGACATTCAGCGTGTCCGTGTTGAACGGGCAGTGGGGGCACTGGAAGAGCGTGGGCTCCGTCCACCCCCTGTGCCGCTTCATGTGGTCCTCCAGGGCGGGCAGGCTGACCACGAGCCACTTGCAGATCGGGCAGAAGATCTTCATCTCTCCGTCCGTCCGTTCCGCGTCGGCACTGGGGCATGCAGAGAGGCAGGCGGAAATTCCTTCCTTTTACATGTTTGACACAACGGGTAGGGTTACGTTTGGCAATGCCAAGGCCTCGTGGTGAATGGGGGACTAGGACAACAGGCGGCCATGGTCACACTCGCCGAAGCCTAAGTAACGTTGTGCCATTCATACTCTTTGCTTCTTTCGGTAGAGTCAGGGAGGTAGAAAAAATAATGGATCACGACGTTTCGATCGCAACACAAGCAAAAAAACTGCTGAAGCAGTTTTTTTTTTAAGCCAAACTAAACGATGTTCCCTTACTTCTAGATTTGAAGCCTTCGTGACTGCAAGGATTCATATTCTTGGGTTCTTTCGGTAAAGCCACGTAGGTGAAAAAAAATAGAAAAAAAAATCGAATTTAAATTTTATTCTTATTTTTTTTCACCGACGTGACTTTACCGAAAGAACCAACGAGTATGGATCCTTGCAGTCACGAAAACTTCAAATCTAGGATGCTCCCTTGTTACCAGGTGCAAGGCCCCAGCTATGGGGTAGCTCTTTCTCACAAGCGCCTGCGGCCGTCGCAGATGACAGCTCATTGACGAAGTGGCTCATCCCGTGGACATTTATTTTTCCGCCAAATACTCTCTGAACGTGGAGGGGGGAAAAAAACCAGAGGACCCAGAGATAAATCCACGCTGACCACGGTGAGATAATGTAAAACTCCAAATATACAGCAGCAGCAGGCGTCAGGGGTGGGATCAAACCCACAACCTCCTCCATACCAGGCGAGGTAGTCAACATCTCCTAGTCACCGTGATGATGAGAGAAAGACACGCAAACTCCAAATCTACAGCAGCAGGCATGGTGCATGGTAAGGGTCGGCATATGACCCACGACCTCCTGTATACCAGGCGAGGTAGTTAACACCTCCTAGACACTGTGATGATGATGTGAGAGAGACGCAAACTCCAAATATACAGCAGCAGGCGTCAGGGTCAGGATCAAATCCACGACCTCCTGTACACCAGGCGAGGTAGTCAACATCTCCTAACCACCGTGATGATGATGATGAGAGAGAGACACGCAAACTCCAAATATACAGCAGCAGGCATCAGGGTTGGGATCGAACCCACGACCTCCTGCATACCAGGCGAGGTAGTCAACATATCCTAATCACCGTGATGATGATGATGAGACACGCAAACTCCAAATATACAGCAGCAGCAGCAGGCATGGTAAGGGTCAGGATCGAACCCACGACCTCCTGCACACCAGGCGAGGTAGTTAACATCTCCTAGTCACCGTGATGATGATGATGATGAGATTCCTCGCCACCGCTCACCGGGAATTCCTCACCACCGCTCACCGCAGCGAGTCTCGCACAAGGAACGGGTGACGTCACTCACTCGCAGCACCACCGCGCGCGTGACGTCATCGTCGCTCAGGGTACGGGTAGGAGGATCTTTGTCTTTGTAGCGGTGACGTCACTTGCATCCAGCCCTTTGGTGACGTCACCCTACACCCCCCCCCCCCACCCTGGCAGGCGCGCGCCGGTTTGACGTCGTGTCGTCAATCTCGCCGCGAGCGTGACGTCACGCCACTATTGGCGGGCCGCTGGGAGACGCGAGTGACGCCACCCCCCTACCCGGCACGTGACGTCGTCGGTCCTGTGCGGCGGGGAGGTGTGTCCTTAATACGATGAGGATGACGTCATTTGCTCGCGACTGCGGGTTACGTGACGTCATGTCACCAATGCCCGGGGGGTGGCTGTGGACACCGTGAATTGACGTCACGCACAGAGACAGAGAGTCGAGGCCTCCGTGTTGCGTTGTGAAGTTCAATATCGCCACTGGGGGAGAGACAAAGGCGGCCGGGCGTGGTGTTGGCTACCGACCCCCTTCATAGGTACTGCTACTCGCTACTAACAGCAGCACTTGCAACTGTAGCCTGTGTGAGGCTACCTGGGGCATCTTTATATTGGTAGGAACAAAGTGGACCAGCCGACAATCTATATATATAAAATCGCAAATCTGTCTGTCTGTCTGTGTGTCTGTGTGTCGCCGGACCATACGCAGTTTCATTGGACGAAATGTGAGGGATTTGCGAGACACGATTGGTCCGGCAGTTGCCCCTGGCAACGGGTAGCGACGCATTCGCTGCGGGGTGGACGCCATTTTTAATTCCCGTTAAAAATATGCGCACGCATTAACACGCGACTCTGACGTAAATTCATCAAAGTTTCACATCCTCTTCACTCCCCCCCCACCACAATGTGTGCAATTACTATTATACGGTCGGTAGATTATAAAATTATAGCGATTAGACCAGGGGTCGGGAACCTTTTTTCCTGGGAGAGCCATAAAAGCCAAATATTTCTAAATATATTTCATTGAGAGCCATATAGAATTTTTAACGTATAATAAATTAAATATGTCTTATTTTTAATGCGACTTCTGGTGCTGCATGGTTTTGCTGATGGCCTTGTATTCCGGTTCATACGTGGTGAGGTTGAGCTTCATGCAGGCGTGACCCGTGAAATTTACCTTCAAAACTAATTTCTGTTTACTTTAATATGACACAGTATTATACAAGTGAAATTTATCTTCAAAACTAATTTCTGTTTACTTTAAAATGACACAGTATTATTAAGCAATATCACAAGTATTTTAAAATCAGTTCCAAACTGATTTTTGTTATTTTTTCAACTCAAAATTGTCTGGGAGCCATATTCCGTCACTGGAAGAGCCATATATGGCTCGCGAGCCATAGGTTCCCGACCGCTGGATTAGACAGTATTATTGTAGCGCGGGGGGGGGGGGGGGGGGAACGGCACCCGTACCCAGCCCCAGCCGGGGGGGCAATTTAGGCGAGGCCGGAGGCTCTGCACGGTACTAGGCCTCGACACCCACCACGCGACTCTGAGGTAAATTCATCAAAGTTTCACGTCCTCTTTCACTCCCCCGCCACCCCAATGTGTGCAATTACTATTATAGGGTCGGTAGATAATAAAATTATAGCGATTAGACAGTATTATTGTAGCGCGGGGGGGGGGGGGGGTAACGGCCCCGGTACCCAGCCTCAGCCGGGTGGGCAATTTAGGCGAGGCCGGAGGCTCTGCACGGTACTAGGCCTCGACACCCACCACGCGACTCTGAGGTAAATTCATCAAAGTTTCACGTCCTCTTCACTCCCCCGCCACCCCAATGTGTGCAATTACTATTATAGGGTCGGTAGATAATAAAATTATAGCGATTAGACAGTATTATTGTAGCGCGGGGGGGGGGGGGGGGGTAACGGCCCCGGTACCCAGCCTCAGCCGGGTGGGCAATCTAGGCGAGGCCGGCGGCTCTGCACGGGACTAGGCCTCGACACCCCACCACACTATAGGCCGTACATATTACTGCACAGCGGCCGAGGAGATCGTGGCTGGGGGGGGGGAGGCAGGGGTAGCAGCCCATCTGTGTATATATGTAAGATTATTAAGAAATATATTTTTCACCCGGGCAACGCCGGGTACTTCTGCTAGTCTATATATATAAAATCGCAAATCTGTCTGTCTGTCTGTGTGTCGCCGGACCATACGCAGTTTCATTGGACGAAATGTGAGGGATTTGCAAGACACGATTGGTCCGTTTGGTTTTCCACGGCGGTTGCCCCTGGCAACGGGTAGCGACGCATTCGCTGCGGGGTGAACGCCATTTTTAATTCCCGTTAAAAATATGCGCATGTATTAACACGCGACTCTGAGGTAAATTCATCAAAGTTTCACGTCCTCTTTACTCCCCCCCCCCACGCCAATGTGTGCAATTACTATTATAGGGTCGGTAGATAATAAAATTATAGCGATTAGACAATATTATTGTAGCGCGGGGGGGGGGGGGAACGGCACCCGTACCCAGCCTCAGCCGGGTGGGCAATTTAGGCGAGGCCGGAGGCTCTACACGGTACTAGGCCTCGACACCCCACCACACTATAGGCCGTACATATTACTGCACAGCGGCCGAGATCGTGGCTGGGGGGGCAGGGGTAGCAGCCCATCTGTGTATATATGTAAGGTTATTAAGAAATATATTTTTCACCCAGGCAACGCCGGGTACTTATGCTAGTAGATTATATCGTCCGTCCGTTCTTCCGTCCGTCTGTGTAGCAACATCGCCCCCTATTGCAAACACTTGGCATGACCCTACAAAAACCTTTAGACTCAGTGACGATTTCCTGGCTAAACAAGTGTAACATTCCCTTATAATTCCCTCAGATAGCTTTTAATTAAAACGTTTAAATTAATGAGGCTTTCCTGCCTAAACAAGTGCAACATTCCCTTATAATTCCCTGAGATAGCTTTTAATTAAAACTTGTAAGTTAAAATTTAACTCACAGCAGCCTAAAGCCTACAGCTAGGCCTAAAGCCTAGAACTAGGCCTCAAACTCTCCCTTCGTATAGTTCCCCCGCGTGTGTGAAAGGGAGTTAATGTTTAGCAATGTTACATTCCCGGATGTTTTTTTAATAGAAACATTTACATTTAAAGCTTTTACATTAAAAACAACTCCCTACCCCCCCCCCCCCCTCGTCGGTGGCTCTCCAGCCTAGATCCAGGCCTGGGAATCTCTCCCCCGCTAGGGGTGTATTGGGCGGGGCTACAGCTGCAGGGGGCGGGGCTGGGCGGGGCAACGGCGGCAGGGGGCGTGAGCACGAGGTGGAGGGCGGGGCTACGCGGGGTTGGGGCGGGGTTACGGCGGTAAGGGATGGAGCAACGAGCTGGGGGCGGGGACACGGAGATGGGGCGGGGCCACGGGTGGCCTGGGCGGGGTTACGCGGGTGGAGGGCGGGGCCACGGGGCATCCACTTATTGGCGGCCATTTTTTGCCATTTCATTTTATTATAGCCATTCAATTGTTCGTTCCTACCAGCCCACCCCGCAGGGTCCTGTTACTGATGACATATTCGATCAGAAAAATGTAAAAAAGATTTTAAAATATTATTTGTGAAATTTTATGTTTCAGCTTGGCTCTAATTGTCCACGGTAAACTGACGTTGCCTGTTAAATCACCACGGCCCCTTACGTTACGGCAAACTTCGGGGCCACTTCATGGAGTCGTGGAGTTCTTTCATTACGAGTACGGTACATTTCATTAAAGCGTGTTTTTAAAAAAGTTTTTTTTAATATCACTTATTTTTTTCTTTCGGTGCCTGGACAGCAAAAACCTTCCCCCACCCCCCACCGCTAAAGCCGCACACAGAGAGCCTGCCCAGAGCCCCGCCCAGTTGCGCTCCACCTCTGTAGCTCGCGGGATTCCTGCTGCACGGCATAGCCACGTCACTACTCGCTGTGACGTTGCTGCTGCTGCCGCCATGGAAGACTAGTCTCCGTCGCCATCTTGTTTCTGTCTCTATCTTGTCTCCGTCGTCTTTATCTCGCCTTTGTCTTATCTCCGTCTTCTTCTCCGCCATTATCTTCGTCTTGTCTCCGTCTCGATATCCATCTTGTCTCGTCTGTGTTGTGTAGTGTAGTGCCTCAATAGAGCTCAATGTGTAGTGTATAGTGTAGTGTATAGTAGTGTATAGTGTAGTGTAGTGCCTCAATAGTCATAGAGCTCAATGTGTTCGCTTACCGACCATTCCCCTGTTAACGACGGGCTGTTGTAGGTACAGTAAATATTCATTAATGCATTAACCACGTTTCTTTTAACGTTATGTGTTCATACTATTGGTAGTATGAGAATAGGTTTTCCCCTTTTTTCTGGCAACAAAACAGCTGTGTTAAGATGTTAAAACGCCAAACTGAAACCTTTTACAAGGCATCATGTCTGCATTAACCACAATACTCGTGGTCAGTATGCAAAGATAGACGAAAACTGATGCCAGATTTGGAATCAGCACCCCAAAATTACCTTAAATCCGTTGGAATTCCTTATGCCAGAAAAAGTGTGTTGACCAGTGTTATCAAAGTACGGTTTTTGTTTGCATTCTGACCACAAGTATTGTGGTCAATGCAGACATGATTTTTTGTAGAAGGTTTCAGTTTGGTGTTTTAACATCTTAACACAGCTGTTTTGTTGCCAGAAAAAGGGGAAAACCTACTCTCATATTTTGATACTGGTGTAGTGACATAAGAAGGGAGGGGCTGCTGGGGGCCCACGCCTGGCGCCTCTTGGCGCCAGGCGTGGGTTCCCAGGCGGGTCAGACACTTAAGCCTCTTGGCATCAGGCGTTGGGTTCCCAGGCGCTTAATTCCCTTGGCGCCGCCAAAGGGGGGGGCTGTGTGTGCTCTGTGGGATATCTGGGGGCGCACACGGCCCCACCCCTCGTTGGGGACTGGGCATAAAAGGGGAGCTCCCTGGACGATCAGGGCCAGTCGTAGCTCAAGACCCAAGACCCAAGACCAGCCATCGGAGGACCCTGGGACGCTGTGAGAGCCAGTGGTGGGACTCTGGAACTCCCGACTCTACGACCTTGTGAGGGCGAGTTCCAGAGCGTAGCCAGAGTAGAGTATCTAGGTTGTGTACCTAGGCTGTGAACCTAGGCTGTAACAGAGTATCAGGACTGTTGGAGAGTTGGAGAGTTGGAGTGTTGGAGTGTTGGACTGTTGGAGTGCTGTTGAATCGTAATAAAGAAGTTACCTCTACAAGTGTCTCCGGAACCCGTTACACTGGCAAAGGAGGTCCCCATGATTTTGGTAGTATCTTTACGTATTAATATCCACCGTTCAAATATTGCATAAGTACGTTTTTTGGGGTGAAAAAGGGTTAACTTTAGGTCCTGTCGTAACGGATTAAGATTTTGACGTGCATTTCCTATAGTTGCTTAACGGCCAAATCACTTAACAGTCTTAATAAATATTTACTGTACCTACAACAAAAATCTTACCTTGTGCTCAGAGAGATTTCTCCTGTATTGGTCCAATTTTGTTTCAGAAATGCATTCAAATTTTTGTAACTTACATTTCGTTGAAATGAAGTTGTTAAGTAAACTACCCCCTGTGATTAAAACTAAAACTATACCCTAAAATCAAAACGGGGCCACCCCTCTTAAAAACACCCTCCCCCCTCCCCGATATCTTAGTTTAAAAAAAGACAGACAAATGTTCCGGTAATAAGAATTATTTTAGTATATGTGGTGTTTAGAGGTCGAGAGGTCAAGAGAGAGAAAATTGAATGCGTTTTTGTCACCAGGGGTGGCTGGGCAGTCCCATGTGGAAATGTTTGCATCGGCCGCGGAGGCCAAATTATTTTTAAATAAACTGCCGCGCTACACATCGCACCTCCAATAAGCACGGTTGGCTACGTATGGTTAGAACGATAAAAATACAAAGATCCCCCGTATAGCCCGTAACAGACTGTTGGGACAAGTGCCATTAGCCAGCACCTATGAAGGCCAGCAACCACGCCCGGCCGCCTTTGTCTCCTCAGCGACAATGATTACACATCGCACCAGGTACTCATTTCATGCGACCTAGGGGAGGCTCAGATAATCGTCCCCAGTGTTGGCCGTGAGCGGGAATCGAACTCGGGTCGCCGGGTTCTTAGCACAGCGTAGTGCTAACCGCTGCACCACCGCTCCCCATACACACACGGACACGCACACTCACATTCCTGGTGCTTCTGCACAGATCGAAATGGGTCTGTCCTCTGCTCCACGTGATCCACCCTCCACCCTCTTGTCTCGACTCCATTCTTTAGCGATACTTCCACGCCAACGGCGGTCCATGGCTGTCCGGCGTCTTCCTCCCATCTCCACGTCGTTCGCATCGACCTCGACATCGCTTCTCAAACGAGGGCCTCATCCTTCCAGTTCCCGTTTCGCGACCGACAGGGAGACCGAGCAATCTTGAGCTCCAAGTTCTAACTTGACCCCTTCCCCTCAGCCGAGTCTCAACTGAGGATTTCCTCCGGTTCCTGCTTCACACTCAACAGGGAGACGGAGGAGTCCTGAGCTCCGTGTTCCAACTTTACCCGCGGCTCCGTCTCGCTCCCGTGGCAATCCTCAGGCTCCCGCTTCACGATCGGCAGGGAGGGGGGACGGCACGGAACAACCTCGCCACCGGGCTCCACCTTCACCCCCGGCCACGCCTCGAAGCCTCCGACGTTCCCTTCCCGTTCCTCCTTCACCTTCGCCGAGGACGCGTCTCCGCCTCTGCTCTCCGCCTTCATTACCCGCGGGCGCGTCCCGACGAAGCCGGCGGGCTTTTCCCGGCATTCTTCTTCCGACGCGGCGGGCGCAGGAAGAGGAGGAGGGCTCGCCGCCGCCTCTCCGGGGAAAGTCGCACGCTCACCCCCAGAGTCAGGCGGCTCCACTAGGGCGGCCGTCGCCCCCTTGCGCGCGATGCACTCGCGACGCTTCCTCCTCGTCACGCTCCCTCCGCCCGCCGCGTCCGCGCTTCCGGCGGCGGGGCAGCCGCCCGACGGCGTCGACGCCTCACCGCAGTCGCAGGCGCTCTCCCTCGCGTGGATCTTCTTGTGGGCGCTCAGCGCGCCCGATTCGGCGAAGGCCTTCCAGCACACGGCGCACGTGTACGGCCTCTCTCCCGTGTGGACCCTCTTGTGGTTGACGAGCGTGTCGGAGCGAGCGAACGCCTTGCCGCACTCGGCGCATGCGTACGGCCTCTCGCCCGTGTGGATCCTGCTGTGCGTGGAGAGGGTCCCCGGATCTGCGAACGCCTTCGCGCACACCGTGCACCTGTAGGGTCTCTCGCCCGTGTGGGTCCTCCTGTGCACGCTCAGGGCCCCCGACTCGGTGAACGCCTTGCCGCACGCAGCGCACACGTACGGCTTCTCGCCCGTGTGGATCCTGTTGTGAATGACAAGCGCCCCCGAGCGAGCGAACCGTTTTCCGCACGTGGCGCACCCGTAGGGCTTCTCGCCCGTGTGGATCCTCTGGTGGTTGCGGAGGTGCTCCGAGCGCGTGAACTCCATCCCGCAGACGGTGCAGTGGTAGGGCTTGCCGCCGGTGTGAGTCTTTTGGTGCTCGTGAAGATCCTCCGAGCGGTTGAACGCAAGTTCGCACATCGTGCACTTGTAGGGCTTCTCCCGGGCGTGCGCCGCCCGGTGCTCGCGGAAGACCTCGGTGTCGATGAACACCTTGCCGCACTCGGAGCACTTGTGCGACTCGCGCGCGTCGTGCGTCGCCTGGTGGCCGATGAAGACGTTTAGCTTGTCCGTGTTGAACGGGCAGTGGGGGCACTGGAACAGAGCGGGCTCCGTCCACCCCCTGTGCCGCTTCATGTGGTCGTCCAGGGCAGGTAGGCTGACCACGAGCCACTTGCAGATCGGGCAGAAGATCTTCATATCTCCGTCCGTCCGTCCGCGTCGGCACTGGGGCACGCAGGGAGGCACGCGGAAATTCCTTCCTTTTACATGTTCGACATCTTCACATTTGACACAATCGTTAGCGCTACGCTGTATCTTATTTGATACATCTATCGTGCTGTGACGGTTCCACCTGAATACGGAAGCTTGTGTTGCCTCCGAAACGTCGTGATTTTTATTTTATTTTTATTAATTAAAACAAAAATTACCTACGTGATTTTACCGAAAAAACCAAAGAATATGTTCCCTTACTCTTTGGTTCTTTTAGTAAAGTCACGTAGGTGAAAAAATTTCAACAAAAAATAATAAAAATAGAAAAAATCGAATTTTAATTTGTATTCTTATTTTTCTTTTTTCACCGACATGACTTTACCGAAAGAACCAAAGAGTATGGATCCTTGCAGTCACGAAAAATTCAAATCTAGGATGCTCCCTTGTTACCAGGTGCAAGGCCCCAGCTATGGGGTAGCTCTTTCTCACAAGCGCCTGCGGCCGTCGCAGATGACAGCCCATTGACGAAGTGGCTTATCCTGCGAACATTTATTTTTCCGCCAAATACTCTCTGAACGTGGAGGGGGAAAAAAAACCAGAGGACCCGGAGATAAATCCACGCTGACCACGGTGAGATACATGTAAAACTCCAAATATACAGCAGCAGCAGGCGTCAGGGGTGGGATCAAATCCACAACCTCCTCCATACCAGGCGAGGTAGTCAACATCTCCTAGTCACCGTGATGATGATGATGATGAGAGAGAGACGCAGACTCCAAATATACAGCAGCAGGCGTTGTCAGGGTCAGGATCGAAGCCACGACCTCCTGTACACCAGGCGAGGTAGTCAACATCCCCTAGCCACCGTGATGATGATGAGAGACACGCAAACTTCATATATACAGCAGCAGGCGTTAGGGTCTGGATCGATCCCACGACCTCCTGTATACCAGGCGAGGTAGTCAACATCTCCTAGTCACCATGATGATGATGATGAGACACGCAAACTACAAATATACAGCAGCAGGCATGGTCAGGGTCGGGATAGGACCCACGACCTCCTGCACACCAGGCGAGGTAGTCAACATCTCCTAGTCAACGTGATGATGATGAGAGACACGCAAACTTCATATATACAGCAGCAGCAGGCGTTGTCATGGTCAGGATCGAACCCACGACCTCCTGTATACCAGGCGAGGTAGTTAACATCTCCTAGTCACCGTGATGATGATGATGAGATTCCTCGCCACCGCTCACCGCAGCGAGTCTCGCACAAGGAACGGGTGACGTCACTCACTCGCAGCACCACCGCGCGCGTGACGTCATCGCGCCCGAAGATGGCTGGGTGACGTCACGCTCGGGATGGATGGGGGCGGGTTCAGCTGGAGACGGTAATATGACGTAATCTATCGGGCTCGAAGTGCACCTGGGCACGGGCGCCGCGGTGACGTCACCGTCGCTCAGGGTACGGGTAGGGGGATCTTTGTCTTTGTAGCGGTGACGTCACTCGCATCCAGCCCCTTCGTGACGTAACCCTACACCCCCCCCCCCACCCTGGCAGGCGCGCGCCGGTCTGACGTCGTGTCGTCAATCTCGCCGCGAGCGTGACGTCACGCCACTAGTGGCGGGCCGCTGGGAGACGCGAGTGACGCCACCCCCCTACTCGGCACGTGACGTCGTCGGTCCTGTGCGGCGGAGGGGTGTGTCCTTAATACGATGGGGATGACGTCATTTGCTCGCGACTGCAGGTTGCGTGACGTCATGTCACCAACGCCAGGGGGGGGGTGCTGTGGACACCGTGAATGACGTCACGCACAGAGACAGAGAGTCGAGGCCTCCGTGTAGCGTTGTAAAGTTCAACATCGCCACTGGGGGAGAGACAAAGGCGGCCGGGCGTGGTGCTGGATACCGACCCCCTTCATAGGTACTGCTACTCGCTACTAACAGCAGCACTTGCAACTGTAGCCTGTGTGAGGCTACCTGGGGCATCTTTATCTTTGTGTGCGCGCTTGCTCCTGTGGGGAGCGGTGGTGCAGCGGTTAGCGCTACGAACCCGGCGACCCGAGTTCGATTCCCGCTCACGGCCAACACCGCCGGTGACGATTATCTGAACCGGTCCTGGGCCTCCCCTAGGTCGACTCGGCCTCAAATGTGTGGCTGGTGCTGTGTGTGTGGTAAACATCGCTAACAGCACTTGCCCCTACAGTCTGGCAAGGCTACACGGGGGATATTCTTTGGTTATTTCGGTCGATAGAAAATAAAAAATTAAATACAATTTTTAATAATTAAAACACAAGCGGTCATCTTTTCTCGCCGCCTGATGAAGGCTGCTTGTGTTGCGATCGAAACGTCGTGGGTTTTTATTTTATTTTACACGCCCTTTATTAACGCTTTTCTGTCTTTTTGATTTAAAGCTTTCGTTACTGCAGAGATTCATATTTTTGGTTCTTTCGGTAAAGTCATGTAGAAGGGAAATAATAAAAATATAAAACAATAGACAGAGAATATATTATTGGTTCTTTCCGTAAAGTCACGTAGAAGGGAAATAGTAAAAATATAAAAATATATAAAATATAAAAATAAAATCATAAAATATTGTCTGTTGTCATATCCTCAAATCTTGTAACTCAATTTTATCCCACTTCCCAATGTGGTATCGACTGCAAACTTGGTATACTGATGTCATACTGATGACAATACTATATTCTATTAAAAAAAAAGTATGTTTAAACATTCATTTTAAAATGTTATGTTTCGGCTTGGGTCTAATTGTCCACGCTCAACTGACGTTGGCTGTAATTGGCCACGGTCCCTTACGTTGTGGCAAGCTTCGGGGCCACCTCCTGGAGTTGTGGAGTTCTTCCATTACTAGTACGGTATATTTCATGAACGCGTGTTTAAAAAAAATATTTTTAAATACTATTTTACACTCTTTCATTTAACTCACTCTGTCTGTTGTTGTCGTATCCCCAAATTGTGTAACTACATTTTAACCCACTTCCCAATGTGGCATCGACTGCAAACTTGGAATACTTATGTCATACTGATGACAATACTATATTTTATCATAAAAAATAAACATTTTTAAAAACATCATTTTTTATATGTTATGTTTCGGCTTGGCTCTAATTATCCACGCTCAACTGACGTTGGCTGTAATTGGTCAGGGCCACTTCCTGGAGTCGTGGATTTCTTCCATTACTTCATAAAAGCGTGTTTTAAATAAGTTTTTTAAAATACTTACTTAATTTTATTTGTATTTTCTATCTACGTGACTTTACCGAAAGAACAAAAAAATGTGAATTCCTGCGGTCACGAAAGTTTTAAGACAAAATCTATACGAGGGATCTTTTTACATTTTCGTGTCTGCGTCTCTGTCCTGTGACCTCCTGCCAGCAGCGAGGCATGGATACTTCACGTGACGGCCTCAAAGTGCACCTAGCCTGGCACAAGCGCCGTGGTGATGTCACCGCCAAATTGTGGCGAATGGCGGTTCTTGTTGTTGTTGTGTCTGCGCCGGTTTGCAACCTGCAGGCCGACCCTGCCTACGATCCATCGGGGGTTTAAACTGTAGGCTGAGTCGCAGTGTGAGGAACTCACGAATCCTTGAAGGATCTGGACAGGGTCCCTATCATCGGCGAGCTCCTCCAAGGCTACGTTGGCCGGGTCATGTAGCCCGCATGCCTAGCCACCGTACGCCCAAGCAGCTTCTGTTTGGCCGGATAGAGGGGGGCTAGAAGGGCGCGGTATGGGCTGGAGATGAGGATGGCGCTGATGCGGTACGGGAGGATGTGGAGCTGAGTGGACTTGCCGACGACTGGTACCAGCGGTGTCAAGATCGGCCTCTGTGGAGGAGGAGGTTCATTAAGGACGCTGCTACTGGGCAGTTGGAGGCAGTCGCCCTCCAGCAACAACAGAGGGCAGAGGAGCGACACTCACAACAACGAGCAGAGCGCCAGGCGACTTAAACACAGCAAGTTTGCACAGTGGGGGCCATAGGTGGTGGATCTGCCAGTCATCTCAGAATCAGAATCTTTATTTAGACTGCAGGAGGAATCAGATGAGCTATAAAGCTCTTTTCTACAGATGTCCAGTATGGGCATGGGGAGTCAGTGATTTTCAACGGCAAACACACCATACACACAAACACACAATACACACAAACACGATACACACAAACAAACGATAGGAGTGCAAAATAGAACAAAAGTAGGGCAAGTCGCAAAATGGAAATTAATTGTTTAAGTTCGATTTATCAAGATTGGGCAAGGCAGCAAGAATAACAGAACAAGTAGCCAACCGCGCTAATCAGAGGTGCGGGGGAAGGACTACAAATTAAACACAACAACAAGCAGCAATTCTAAAGGAATTAGTTTGTCAATCTAGAATCTAGATGATGATTTAAAAGTGCATCGTAGCTCCCAATGGCTTTCTGATACCGGAGAGGAAGAGCGTTCCAGACGTCCGCCACAAGCAGCAGCAGCATCTGAAAGCGCCACGCGACGCAGCGACAACCACTTTCTTTTTTCGACGGTTAGCAACCGGTGTCCGTGGTTTCTAGCTTCACGCCTTGTTTGCGATACTTCACAGGGGTGGGGCGAGGGAGATTCATTTTCTTTCGTGTGCCTCACTCTTTGCCCCAGTGCCAAGACAGGAACCATGAACGAGGGAGGAGAGATGAAGATCTACTGCCCGGTCTGCAACTGGGTGGTGATCAGCTTGCCCGCCCTGGAGGACCACATGAAGCAGCACAGGGGCCTGACCGAGTCCGTGCTGTACCAGTGCCCCCACTGCCCGTACAGCACGGACAAAGCAGCCACTCTGATCGGCCACCAGAGGAGCCACGCCGACGAGAAGCTGTACAAGTGCTGGATGTGCGATGAAGTTTTTGCAAATTCGGGAGACTTCTGCTCCCATCAGAGCGTGCACATGAAGCGGGCGCGACGCGGGAAGGCATTCGCCCCACCGCTAGGAGACGTCTCACCGGACGGGAGGATCCGCGCAGACGAGAGGCCCTACTGCTGCAATGTCTGTGGAGAGGATTTCACTCAGTCGCACCACCTCCTCAACCACCAGAGGATCCACACGAGTGAGAAGCCGTACAGGTGCGCCACGTGTGGCAAGGCATTCAACCAGCCGGGGACGCTCTTCAACCACGAGAAGACCCACGCGGGCGAGAAGCCCTACGGATGCGCGGCATGCGGGGAAGCGATTCGCACAGTCAAGAGTCCTCGTCATACACGCGAGGACCCACACGGGCGAGAAGCCCTACAAGTGCTCCACGTGCGGCAAGTGCTTCGCCCAGTCGGGCAACCTGTGCATCCACAAGCGCACCCACACGGGCGAGAAGCCGTACGCGTGTGACGTGTGCGGCAGCTCGTTCACGCAATTGGGCACCCTCCGCGTGCACTGGAGGACGCACGCGGGCGGGAAAGCCTCCTCCGGGTCGGGGAGCCTCCGGTCACGCCGGCAGGTCCGCGCGGGCTCGAGCGCGTCGACGCTGCCAGCCAGTCCTCCCCTCCTCCGCCGCTGCACCCGTGGGAGGGCCGGGCGTCACGAGGGCGCGACTGCCGCTGGGGAGGTCGTGGCGAGCCTCGGGGGTGAGGGTCCCGCGGCGACCCCCTCGGCGACCCCCTCGGCAACCCCCTCGGCGACCCCCTCGGCATCGCTAACATCAGAACGTGGAGAGACCCTCAGCTTCGAGACGTGGCTGGGGGTTAAGGTAGAATGCGACGGTGAAGATCCTCCCGCCTCCCTACCGAACATGAAGCGGGAGCGCAGAGGGATCGCCAGCTTCGAGACGTGGTCAGGGGTGAAGGTGGAATTCGAACGGTGAAGATCCTACTGCCTCCCTGCCGATCGTGAAGCGGGAGCGCGGAGAGATCGCCAGCTCCGAGACGTGGCCAGAGGTGAAGGTAGAATGCAACGGTGAAGATCCTTCTGCCTCCCTACCGATCATGAAGCGGGAGCGAGGAGAGATTGCCAGCGTCGAGATGTGGCCAGGGGTGAAGGTGGAACATGGCAGGGGGGAGGATTCTTCAGTTCCCCTCTCGATCGTGAAGCAGGAACAGGAAGAAAGCCCCGGCTGTCAGACGCGGCTGGGGTTAAGTTGGCACACGGGAGACCGAGTCTCTGCTTTGGGAACGGATGTTGAGGTCTACGTGGAAAGAGTGAAGGAGGAGGCTCCAAGCAAGCATGTCGAGTGAGAGTGAGTCCTCGACTGGGACCTTTGTTAATTTGGTGGCACGGGTGGAGGATGTGTACTACACAGGGGCAGGTCTCGTGGAGCGGAGATTAAACACTCGAGAAGCTGACAGAGAGAAAAATAAATGTTGAGAAAATGCCGCGCGACACATTGGCCGTTCGAAGCACGAGCGTGTCTGCACGACTGTGAAGGTACACAACGTGGAGGCAATATTTTTTGCTCTGAGAACAGATACACGTGAAGTGAAAACTACGTAGACTCTTTGTTTTATTGACCAGGTAAGGCCCACCACTGAGCCACGTAGCTCTTTTTCAGAAGCGACCTGGCCATCAACGAAGTGGCCTATCATCAGTGGCGGCACTGTGGCGTGCAAAACAAACAGTGCAGGAGCAATACATACATACATACAAATTAATAAATAAGTAATATTTTAAAATACTGTTTTTAAAACACGCTTTAATGAAATGTACCATACTCGTAATGGCAAAACTCCATGACTTCAGGAAGTGGCCCCGAAGCTTGCCATAACGTAAGGGACCGTGGTGATTTACAGCCAACATTAGTTGAGCGTGGACAATTAGACTCAAGCCGAAACATAACATATAAAAGGATGGTTTAAAAAAATATTTTTACGATAGAATATGGTATTGTCACCAGTAAGACATAAGTATACGAAGTTTGCAGTCTATACCACATTGGGAAGTGGATTAAAATTTAGTTACAAGATTTGAGGATACGACAACAGACAGAGTGAGTTAAATAAAAGTGCGTAAAAATACTATCTAGAATTGAGGTTTTTATGGGTTAGATCGCTTAAATATGAATGTCGTTAAACCCACCACCACCCGAAAGCACATTAGTAAGGTTTGTCAAGTAAACAGAACATGCCATTCGTTACTAGTGTAATGTCTCTCAGACGACACAAACTGTAGAGGGCTTGCTTTAATTTGAGATTAGCCCGACCGTACCCTAGAGCACGCAACCTTTGCAAATGCTCCTCAAATGTGCGAGCAAACACAGTGATATCATCTAAGTAAATCAGGCAGGAGTCCCATTGCAGTCCCGCCAGGACCAATTCCATAAGTCTCTGGAATATGGCAGGCGCTGAATGCAATCCTATTGGGAGACAAATTTGGTAGAATCCCTGAGGCGTTCGAAATGCAGTTTATGTTCGAGAAGACTCATCCAGGGGTAGTTGCCAAAACCCCAACAGGTCCAATGTTGAAAAGAATCCGAGCGCCCGACAACACGTCCAGGGAATCATCCATACGTGGAAGCAGATCAGCGTCTGCCACTGAGACTTTGTTCAATTTACGAAAGTCGAAGCAAACCTTAAACTTCCGTCTGGTTTTTTTCACCAACACCACAGGGACTCCCCAAGGGCTGGTTGATAGTGAAATTAGATCAGCCGCCAACATTTCCTCCAACGCCTGCTGTACATGTTTCCTTTTCTACAGGACTCAAACGATATGAGTTCTGTCGAATAGGAGCTGCGTCGCCCGTATCAATATGGTGTTTCAGCAACGAAGTACGACCAATGTCAAATTTGCTCTTACTGAAAATGTCGGAAAATTACCTTAGCAAGATCGCAATCCGTTCCGTTGCGCCTGGGATAAATCAGGATTTCCCACAATTTATCTGCCCATGTCCCATCTGACTCGGCTCTCCTGTTCCACTCCCTGCAGCAGAGATAATAGCCTAAAAACATGGAGGCATCGCGTGAGCTAACACTGTTCCCACACATACATTCAAGACCTGTAGAAATGGCTCTTGGTTCATCCGAAGGATTGTCTGCACACCCACCAGCGTAAGCCCTCGGGTCGCTGTGTTGGACGGTGTAAAGAGGACTCCCGCCTCGGCGTCAGCTGATTGAAGCTGCGGTAGCGCAAAGGGACCAACATTTGCGTGCCTGGCGGAATCTATTGATTCCTTTGCCAAGGCCTGAACTGTAACGTTCGCCACAGTATTTTACATGGGGAATCCAAAAAGAACAATCTTTGCCCTGACGGCATCTCGACACATCCTTGGTCTGTCAGAATCTTTAGGGGCATCCTGCTAAAAAAATCTGTACCCAAGAGGCAAGGCACCGCCAGAATTTTTTAAATCAATACGGGCCTCGACATTTCAATTACCCCACTTCTGACACCAGTTTGTATGATTCTCGGGCGACACGAACTGTAAAGGGCTTTAAACTTAATTTGGAGCTTTCGTGACTGCAGGAATTACTCTTTGGTTCTTTCGGTAAAGTCACGTATAAAGATAAAATAATAAATTAAATACTAGCATACGACGTTTCGATTGCAACACAAGCAATCATCATCAGGTATAAATGAAATAGAAACACAAATCTAGTATACTTATAAATGTAATGTAATACAACAGAGAGTCGGATAACATAACAGTCAACACCCTACCTGGTTGATTACGTTCTTCCTGAGAATGCTAAATTTGAGAGAAAGATAAACACAGAACCAGAGACATATAGACATATAAGCATATAAGTAATATAAGTAGAGGGCTTTCTTTATTTTGATCAGGCGCTTCACGCAGATAACTTGGCCAGGGATGACACGCAGATCACTTGGGACAGGGATGACACACAACTCGCGACGACGCGAAGACACCAACGACGCGAAGATAGCGACGATGTGAAGACAGCGGCGACGCGAAGACAGCGATGACCCGATCCCACGGCAGCCCCCGAACCTTGCTCGTCGCCTCCTTTTATGCTTGGCGTGGCCCTGACTCCGCCCCTGGCCATGGCCCCGTTCCCGAACTTCCCTGGCGATTCCCCCTGTGACAACTCGCCCCCTATTATTTATCAACCCTGTATTTCTGGTCGTGACCACTAGTCCACGCACTGTCTTTGCACCTGCACTGTCTCCGCAGACGTACTGTCTCCACACACGCACTGTCTCTACACTAGTACACCACACGGGTGTGTTGGAGAGTAAATCCACATTCACAATCTGATTACGACGTTTCGCCAGTAATTACAACGAGCATCATCAGACGACAGCCATATTTGTGGAGAAATCCTGTTTCGTTCCTAAATCCCTCTGCCCTTCTGTTCGTAACCTCCTTCCCGGCTGTGTTCCTGCGGTGAGCAGGCATTTTCTGTGTCTGCGCCTTGGTCGTGGGAATTCTCTACCATGGAAAATTTGTTTAACCGACAATGTAGATGAAACCATATCTTAAGTCAGTTTATTCGACGTAGCTCTCATCTTCTCTTGGCCTTTCCTTAAGCTTAATCTTACAAGGCGCTTTGAGACAGTGGAAGGCGCCTTTCAAATAAATTACCTACATTTATATTTGCGCAATCTAACAAAAAAAACTCATGGATATTGGTCGCGAAAACCAACGTGTTAAAATGAAAATACTGCACGTCTATACATCACCCCATGATGCAGAGCCTGAGAGATGAGTGTTAAGTATGGTGCAGTAAATGCGATAACTTTTTGTCTATTTGTATTGTTTCTTATGCCAACTTCATATAATAAACGAATATAAAACACGGAAAAAAACAACACCTACAAACATGTCGAACAATAATGTGCAAAATAAGTTATTTTAGACAATGATGAACGATTTAGTGATTGTCCGATGTTTTTGAAAATATCTGGCACCTCCTCCCCCAACCCCGCAGCCGGTGCAGTTTCAAGTGTTTGCGTTTTAAGTAACTGTTACTCAAATATATACAGAACAGATACTGCTCTACTTATGAACATTCGACTTACGAAACTTTCAGAGATTGGAACAAACCCGGTCCGGTGCGTCCAGTTGCCTGTTCATGACCGAGAGTCGTAAGTTCACTGCCCGCTCAATAGATGGCGGTGGTGGCATCTACATCTGCAGAACCTGAAGAACCAGTGGCATGCCATCTGTAGAACGAGAAGAACCAGTAGCATCTACATCTGCAGAACTTAAAGAACCAGTGTCATCTACGTCTGAAGAACGTGAAGAATTAGTGGCATCTACATCTGCAGAACGTAAAGAACCAGTGGCATCTACATCTCAAGAACTTGAGAACCACTGGCACTATGTCTGCAGAACATGAAGAACCAGTTGCATCTACATCTGCAGAACATGAAGGACCAGTGTCCATCTACATCTGCAGAACATGAAAGGACCAGTGACATCTCCATCTGCAGAACAGGCATCTACAGGAGAGTACACAACCTTTCAAAGCCATTCCCCGTGTTTAGTGTACACGCGTACAACACGTTTGGAATTGACAAGAGTAAAGTGGGGACTTACTAACAAAGCAACTTACCTCTGGAACATAACTCATTGGTAAGTAAAGAAGTCCGCTGTATAGGGTATATATATGTGTGTGTGTACACGGGGTATATATGTGTGTGTACACGGTGTATATATGTGTGTGTACAGGTGTGTTTGTGTGTGTTTGTGTTTGGAGCCATTGAAGAAGGGTTCTACAATGTCTTCTTGGTTCTTTCGGTAAAGTCACGTAGAAGGGAAATAATAAAAAATAAAACATAATGAAATAATCTCACGACGTTTCGGCCACAACGCAAGCAGCCGTCCTCAGGTGAAGAACAGGTCTGTCATTCAGACGCTGTCTTTCCGACATACCTGTTCTTCACCTGAGGACGGCTGCTTGCGTTGTGGCCGAAACGTCGTGAGAAGTATTTTATGTTAAATTTTTATTATTTTATTATTTCCCTTCTACGTGACTTTACCGAAAGAACCAAGAAGATGAATCCCTGCAGTCACGAAAGCTTTAAATCGAAGGTTCTACAATGGTCACACAGTGCTTGGCTACAACTAAACCGCGATACCCTCGTTGCTGATCTCGTCAAGGAGCTATAAACCATCGCCACGCGACACTCCGGTGGTCATACTCGTAGCAGTAGCAGCAGCGGCAGCAGCAGCAACAGCAGCTGCGGCGGCGGTGGTGGCGGCAGCAGAAGCGGCTTCGGGCTCAGTCGTCGAATCGAAGCCATCAGAGCCACCGCATCATGGCTGCGCGACACTTTCCCATATGCTTCCGCGGCCGTCTGGAACGCTCTCTTTCCAATATTAGGAAAACGCTGCGAGCTA